ACGTTGACGGCTTGCGTCGACCTCCAAACAACCAAGGTTATCAGTCGTCCCTTCACATTTTATTCATTCCCTTTTAAAACATTTGTAAACTTTGGGTTTTATGTTACCCTTAACTATTTATCCCAAGTCCCAAAACTTGTTTATAAACCATGTTCGTTAAACTTGACTGCTTCCTTTATCGTTCACTGTGGAATTTTGAGATGCATATCCTTTGTTTTCTTTGCTTGAACTTGTTGGACTAAGATTATTATTCATAGAAGTCACAGACAGCATTTTTTTTTGTTCTTTCTTTTGTATTTTGTTAGAACCTCATGTGAGAATGACGCACAGTGTAAATTAATTAATCATCGCACTTGTTTTCTTGGTTCCGAGCTACAGGCTCTTTATAATCAGTTGAATGGGTCCTTGAAGTTTTAATCAATTTGTTCATCACTGATCAGTAGAACTGGTTCGTGTTTTGGTCTTTTGTGTTTTGAGGCTTGATTTGTTGTGAAATCAGGAGAAAAAGATGATCTGTATCTGAAACTATGGCATGCATGCGCGGGTCCTTCTGTTTATGTGCCACGCGCTGGAGAAAAAGTTTTCTATTTTCCTCAAGGTCACATGGAACAGGTTCTATTCCGTTTATACCTTGCAGTTTTCTTTATCTAGTTAAACATTTGTTCTAATCTCCTTAAACTAACACCAGTTAATTAAGGTCTTTTTTCTCTCTAACTTGACACATAAGGAGAAATTGAACCATCCCATTCTGCAAAAGGATAAAAAGAATCATAACGTTAAGGTTGATTTCAGCAGCAAGATATATGAGACGATAACATGTCACATCGAATAGGGAAAGTTCATTTTTTTATTGAATAAAATAATTACTGTAACGAAGTTCTGATAGTTATGGGGATTGAAATGGGATGGTTTCCTTTCCAACTGCCTTTTTGGTTTTCCTTCTTGGGCTTTCCTTTAAAGAGGTCTTGTGTTTGATAAAAAATATTTTGCATGGATTAATATTTGCTTGTGTATTCAAGTGTGTATTTGATAATTAAGCTTTTGATGCAGGTTGAGGCATATGTGAATAAAGATGGGACAATGGAAATGCCCATCTATAATTTACCTTCTAAGATCCTCTGCAGGGTGTTGCACGTCCAGCTTAAGGTATCTGCTAAAATTAACGTTTAATTATCTCCTAGTGACTTTAATCCGGAACAATGGATAAGTTGATGTTTTTGATGCTTCATTGCGGCTTTGCAGGCTGAAACTGGGACAGATGAGGTCTTTGCACAAATTACTCTACTTCCAGAGGCAGAGGTTAGATAGTAATTAATAGATGCTAAGAGTTTCTTTTTTTTCATTTACTTTGCTTTAGACTCACCTAGATTATTTTATTTTTTTTTCTTTTTCAAAATTTTGATGATGAGGGGAATTTGCTGGATGAGATGATACAGGAATTAGATTCAGTTCAGTATCATTTTATGTCCTGATCTTTAATATCATTACTATGCTTTTCTGCCTTAACAGCAAGATGAGCTAAGTATGGAGCATAGAAATTATCAAGCCTTACCTCGAGTAGCTCATTCACGGTTCTTTAGCAAGAAACTCACTCCATCTGACACAAACACACATGGTGGATTCTCTGTTCCAAAGCGACATGCTAATGATGGGTGTCTTCCGCCACTGGTTGGTATTTAATATGTGATTTTTTTGCCTTTTTTGGTGCATTCATGTTCAAAACAGATTACTTTGAAATTTTGAAGATAGATACCATGCATATAAGAAGCTGCTCCAAAATAAGTGAATCAGGGTTTTCTTGTTCTTTGAACTAATAAAGGGTGCAAAATCAGGTAATCTTGCCAGTTCACCATCTGATCGAACTATTTGTGCAGAAGAAAATAGCCAGACAAGTGTCTTTCCAGTCTTCAAGCATAGATATTTATGGTTTTTTGCATAATTCTTTGACTTGTGGAATCAGTTTTACCACATTAAGCAAGTCTCAACTGATCTAATTAGGCCATATCATACATGCATTATTAAGTGATGCATATGATGCAGGACATGTCTCAGCATACCCCACAGCAGGAATTGGTCGTGATTGACTTGCATGGTTCTGAATGGCGGTTTCGTCATATTTTTCGTGGTACTTAATTTTTCTTCCACCAATCTGTTTTTAGTCCTGGGGATAATTCAGGCATTACTGTCAGCTCATTGCATCAAGTGATTATATATGTAGCATTTATAGGCAAAAATTGTTAAAGGACCAACGTTGAGTACCACAATTATCAAAATACTGATTTAAATTAGTTAGGGCTATTTGTTGAAGAACCTATTTCGTATAGTAGTTTCCTTATGGACTGTGTTGCTGTACAAATGTAGGTCAGCCAAAAAGGCACTTGCTTACCAGTGGTTGGAGTACATTCGTGACATCAAAGAAGCTTGTTGCTGGGGATACATTTATCTTTCTTAGGT